AACATCTGCAGAATGTAAGAACAATAAAAGGGTAGCTGGAAATTTACCATTAAAAACTGCATTTCGAGTTTTAAAATTAAATTCTTCATCACTTTCTACCAAATTGCATCACGTTCCCATTAGCCATGATTGCATCCCTGATCAAAGCAGCGGTTGTTCCCAACACTAGATCTATGGTTTTAAGCGTCACCGGAGGTATAACTTCATTGGTCGATGAGCTGTCGGCGCTCTGAAATGACATTGTTAAGATACTTCCCTCAGGTTCAGCTCCTTCCCCTGGTGGCTTATCAGGCAGGATGGTAAACCCTGAAGACAAAATAGCAGCAGAATTTGGGTTCCCACCATTCAAGATCACAGACATTGCGAAGGTGTCGATCGGGGCGTATACTATATATGATCTTGTTTTGTCGGTGTAGCTTTCTTGCAGATACAATATCTCGATTTTGTTCGGAGATGACTGCGAATTTCGTAGTGTAATTAGTTCATATGGAGGAAATTGTCATGAGAAGAAATGGAAATGGTAAGCAAACTTACATTTACTTGCATAATGGAAACTCGATTTTGAGGATCTTCACCATTTATCACATAGGCAACTTCTCGGACAAGTCGTTCATTTGAAAGCAAATCCCACTGCAGATATATTTAACCATATGAAAGTTCATGCATGCATGTAGAAACAGAGAAACTTGAGCATATTAATTGTTCGAAATATATCAATATCCGACACTCAACCAAGTCCATTACCTTGTTTCTTGAATGTTCGTGACGAAGAAAATCGAACAGGATCTTCACCGGAACCGGCATTCGAACAGAAGTAGTGAAGATTAAAGTCTTATCGGGAGGCTTTCCAGGAACAGCTAATGTATTTCCAAACCGGAACCTAACATCTTCAGCACCAAAGCTTAAAGGCAATGCCATCCACAAATTATCAGTACACGAACCAACATTCATGAAGAAATTCCTCGTCACCCTTTCAGCCAACTTCAGCAGACTCTCCCTCCCTGATTGTGGCATCAAAACTGCGCAAACAATATCAATAATTCGGATTGTGCTTCGACGATTGTCCCTAAATCATAATCGAAAAGAAAGAAAGAACATTTTACCACCAGCATCAGTAGGAGTGGTTCTTGTCATTGAAGTCGCGAGCCATTGGCAATGCTTGTTGATCACTGCTATCCATCGTCTCGCACCGAACGCAAACCGGAGCTGACGACGGGAACGAAGAGAGGGTGAAGGTATTTGTTATCGACTTCGACGTGCTCGATCCATGTAATCTTAGAGATTCCATTGTGGGGTAATTGTTGAATTAAACAGCCTGATGGCCTTCTTCGGAAGTGGAGTTGTGGGGATGGGAACAAATTCTCCAAGGAAACATCAACCACTCCCCATGTTTCATAAGCTAGCCTTTTGCAGTACCTTGCGAAGCAGCTTTGTCGAGTTGGTATTAGTGGTGTAGACTGATGAAACTCTCCTGTCATCTGAGAGAGAGAAAAAATGGATATATAAAGATGAGCATTAATTACCATGTATTAGGACCATAAAAAATGAACTCTTAAACCCTAAATTAAAACAAAAATGGATTAAAAAGCCAACAAAGAAATAACTATGAAACAACTATTTCCTTTAAGAAAATTGATTGAAATAATTCATTTATGGAAAGAAAGTATCACATGCAATTAATAGTGCATTTATATGATATTTATTATAAAATGCCAACGTGAAGAATCACATACATGCATGCATGCATGCATGCATGAAGTAAAACTAGAGATGATATACCACTTGAAGAACTCCATTATAGCTCCCATCAACACTATCTAAAATGACTCCCACCATTGTTGTTCTCGACACAATGCTGGAGAATACCATCGACCATTGCTTCTAATCACAAGAAAACGACTACCATTAGTTCATCAACTACTATAAAAATGAAAGGGAAAAAGAAAAAAACACATACCGAATCCATGAGCAATTCAACAATGTTCATAGGGTTCATGTTAATGAATCCGATTTCTCGGGAAGCTTCAATGTGCAACGGCTCGAATTCGGGTTTAGAAGAAGGTGTCGGGATATTTGGAGCGAAGTAACTGTCGTTGAGATCAAAGCTCGGAAACTGTTGGGGTTCACCGATTTCAACCATTCTGACTATATCCTCCATTGTTGCATTAACACAGCCGAATTCCCTCAAGTATTGAAGTCCATTTAGGGTCTCCATTTCACAATTTCCTTTGCGTTGCCATAGTGGTTCACCCATTGTAGCCAGTTTTATCAGCTCTTCCATGGCTCCGAGGGCTTGTTCTATGATCTTGTTCTTATTTGGATCGGCTCCTATCAAGACCGCCATGAGAAGATCACCCGCTCGGTTCACATGATCGGATTTAACGTTGGTCGATGATTCCGAACCCGATGAGTTTTGTGGAGACTGAGGATTGTACAATGAAGGGGAGCTAAATTCTTCATTGCTATGTAAAATATCATCCTGTTGAGTTTTTTTTTTATAAAAAAAAAAGTGGTCAAGATAATAAGAAAAATGGCCTGATTTCTCATTTTGCTTAGTTTTTATCATCACCAAATGGACTAAAAATCTAGGGTTTTCCCCTAAAACTTGTTCATTATCATGAAATGGACTCTAGGGTTTTCAAAAGTAAACAAATCTAGGGTTTTTCTTCAATGTGATTAACATATGCCTTGGAAGATCAAACATGAAATAATAAAAATAAATATGGAAAAATAAAGAAATAAAATTTTACCTCTGGATTCTTTTCAGGAGGTTGATCTAACCCTAACTGGCTATCATCAACCTCAATTCCATCCATAAGAGCTGCTTGAAAGCCCTCCATTGACCTAATTTACCAAAATCCAAAAATATAAAACCAAACTCTAGATATATCTTTTTTTAAGAAATAAATAATAATTAAAAAGAAAATTAAAATTAAGAAGCACTCTCACTCTTCTAATTCTTTTGTTCCAACTATCTTCTCGATATCATCAAAACCACCATTGTTGAATTGTTCCTCTAGGTATTGGATGTTATAACTCCCATTTCCACCCATATTATCCATCTGCAAAAAGAAGGGGGAAAAGGATCAATCTAGTTTAAGTTATCTGATATCTACAAAAATATTTTTTTATTAACAAATATTAGTAAAAAAATAGAAAAATATTGAAATTTTAAATTTTTAAAAAATTATTAGACCCTTTATTTTTTTTATTTGAAATTAAAATTTTCAATGAATATGATCGTCCCAATAAGGCAACACCCTCTCGATCCATCCTTGTATGTGGCTTGAACTCTCTCCCTATATGATTTTGATGAATATGAAATTAAAATTTTCAATGAATATAATTGTCTCTCGATTCATCCCTGTGTGGGGCTTGAACTCTCTCCCCCGTATGATTTCTCTCTCTTTTTTTATCATTGTAAAAGATGAATGCCCCTTCTCTAACTTCATGTGACCAAATTTTAGTATAGATTTGCATCAATAATAACATTCAAAAGATAAAAGGTTCAACTCATTTTAGGAATATATTTTGTTGACTAATGATGTTTAAATTTATAAGCAAGTAGGTTGAGTATTCCTTTTTTAGTCGAAATTGATATATGAAATTTTATAGGCACCATCCATGATTTTATAATTTCTCAAGGGACTAAATTATAATATTTACCATTTTAGGGCGTTCAAGGACCCTACCTTCCTCTTTGCCCCGCTATGTCCATTAGGATCTTGGTAAACATTGGGGTAGGGTTGCAAGGATGAACTTATGCATGGTACAATAAATAGTATAATTACTTTTTAACCTCTTTTAAAACTAATATATATTGTTTCAAAAAATAGCCATATTAACTGGTTAAAATATATATCATTTTACCAACAACCAGTTGGTCTAGAGGGATGAGACACTAGGTCCCTTAAGCAAGGTCAGGGGTTCGAATCCTGATGTTTGCGAATGGAGCAAACTAGGTTGGGAGGGTCGCCCTCACCTCTGCAGTATCCGATCTGGATTAATTGGTCAATATATGATTAATTCAATATATATATATAGTTTTAGTTTGTTCTAATTTTTTTTATACTTTTTGACATGTTATCCTAAAGTATAAACCCTAAATTCAAGTTGAGTTTTATTTGGATGGTTGGCATAAAAAAGAATGTTTTAATTTAAAAACAATTGAAACAAATCTTCACCAAATCTTCTTACCAACTAATGCTATAAAGAAAATACACACACACATACTCTATAGCATTAGATTATTATAATTGAGAAAAATAAAAACTATTCTCAATTTGTTTTATAATAAAAAGTAAACAGATAAGGGAGAAACAACATTGGCTATGTTACATGATGTACGTTGATATATTCCCTTCCAATGATGGAAGGATGCATGCATTTCAACGAATGATCTGAGGATAAAACACCAAGTCTTTCCTTAATTTCAACGAATGATTGTCTAATTGATGAAAAAAAATAACAGAATTTTATTAATTTTAACACTTTCTTAGTGAATAATACTAAATTAAAATTAATATCTGTTTAGAATCTTTCATAGCCATCGTATATTTTGCGTATACAACTATTCTAATTCGATACCTCTTAGAAAAACGTCATTCCCTTTTACAATCAAGATCACTCGATGGGTTTCATTATACCATATACTTAAAATTAAATATCCAAGCATTTAAAAAGTCTATCCAACAAGGATAAGTTTGTAATTAAGAAGAAAAATTCCATTGGTCATTTGGTCTAACTACGTGACTTAAGAGAGAGAGAGAGTGATTCAACCAATTAATTAGTGGGAAAGGTTTAAGTCCACCCATTAACCAACTACAGTTTGGTATAACAAATCTCTGTTGGTGAACACATTCTTCCCCCTAACTCTAATTTCTTTTTGGTCCACACATCCCACATAGATCCTAAATTATTCTCAACTTGTCTCTTCTTCCCCCCCCCCTCTCTCTATATATACACTTACACACTATATGTATATATAAATATATATGTAGTTGAGCTGTGCAGCAAGGGTTTTATCAGGTCTTTCTTTTGTTATCTCTTACGTTGAAGAATTCCCAGTTTCCCATGGATTCCATGAGCAGATCGACGCCGGTTCCGCCTTGCTATGACGACGATGGAACGCAGGAGGAAAGTAGTTGGACTATGTATTTTAATGATTTCTCGAATGGCAACGAATACGATGATGTCGCTGAGATGAATGGAAACAGAAGCTGTTGTTCTTCCGACATCAATCGCCAGACACCACCTCTGGTTTCACTGGAACATAATAAAAGCATAAAGAAGAACAGGTTGAGTTTCAAGAAAAGGAAGACTAATGGATCCTCTGCTTGTTTTGTTGATGAAGATTTGGAAGACACTGCCTGCTCTCCTATCAATAGCCCCAAGGTCAGCTCTTTTCATTTCTTAATATAAACATTCATACGATGCATCGAAGGGGCGGCAGGCGTACTCGCCCATGAAAATTATAAAATTATCATATATTTTAGGTATTTTCTTTATATCTTTTACTGATAATTTTTCTTCGTTTCTTAGAATTTTATAAGTTCGTCTCTTAAAATTTTAAAAATTCGTCTCTCGTAATACCGTCACTATTAACGGTGTCTAAGAAAAATAATAATTGAAGTGTCTTTCTTTTGTTTTTGTAGATGTGTGACATGGAGAATCAGTTTGGTAAGATCATGAAGATGAAAGATGCCATGTACATATCAAAGGTAAGTAATCAATTACTTATTATTCATCATCATCTGAGATCCTTATTATTTTCGGGTTCGAACCTAAGACTTCTCTCTAAAAAAAATTTTGTGGTAAAATTTTGTTGTTGCAGGAGGACAAAGAAAGTGGACCAACAAGGGAGAGAGATGAATCGAGTTCCATCAATGGGGGAGAAAATGAAGAAACTCAACTGAAGAAAAGGGGTCTTTGTTTAGTGCCTTTGTCAATGGTAGTGCAATATGTAGGTTGATTTTCACATTTTATCACATATCCTATGTGTATGTCTTTCTCTACATCAATGCAACCAATATGGTTGCTTTGCATTATCTCACACACACACACACACACACACACACATATATACATATATATATATATATATATATATGCATAGTAGGTGTCATCGACACGTATTTGCAGGAGCACTAACTTGTTAAATGGTGACGACGCATGTGTATCTGTATTATCTTCAATTACTTAATGAGTGTATATTTAACCACTTGAAAAATATATATATAAATAATATTAGATTTGAGAATTTCATGGCAAAAACTTTGTTTTTAGCTATCAAAAGTAGTTCTTAAATTTAATCAGACTCATATCACAGTACAACAGTCAAAAGATAATTTTAGATATTGAGATCACGATTATTTCATAAGGCAACAATCGTTTTTGATTGCATTATGAAATGCTCAGGATCCCGATATCCAAAATTATCTTTGACTATCACATTGATACGAGTATGATCAAGTTTAAAAAATTATCTTTGTTGACTCAAAATTAACAAACTTCTGTCAAGAGATTCTCAAAATTATCCACTACACTAGATGCGCTTACCTGAAGTGTGGTACCGAAAATATTTACAAATTCTATTTTTATCTTTATTTTCGAGTTGAGTAAAAAAATTACGAGGTAGCTAAGTTTGACGAGTCCTCTCTTATAAGTCAAATTTCGTTGAAATTTTTTCAAGTCAAGTTGTTAGAGTTACTGTCTAAATTTAACTGCAAATATTTATAATGTTATGGTACTAATTGATTTTAATTTGAATTGATTTTTATAACTATATATAATTCTTCATATTTTTTCATATACGATATACATATATCATGCAAAATTGAAGGATTAGACTCGTACTTAAAAACCAATCTAATTACTAAAAGAATCAAGTTATTCCAATCATATTTTATAACTCCTTTATTCATTTTTTTAACAGAGGTGAATTTATGAAATTACGAGTCAAATTTAAAAATTTTACGTCAAATCGAGCCGATAACTTCAATTTTTCAAATAAATCAAATTTTGTTCACCCCTCCTACTTGTATTCACTTTCCTGGCAAATATTTGAGATTGAAATCTAATTATGCTTATTCTTGTAATCTGGTTTTATAAGAAAACACACAAAGAAAGAAAGCATTGTTGGCATAATTTTGGGTGCTTCACAAATGAAGAGTTATTTAGCGTGACAAAATACCACAAATTCTGCTTTAATGCTATTCAATTGGAATCTTTGTTTAGACAGCATTCAACAAAATTTGCAACTTTGGGACGTAAACGGGCCTACTTTTTCTCAGGAAGCTTTTCTAACAACTCCGGTATCACTTCAAAAAGATCGCCAACGAGTCCATAATCGGCTACCTGCACCGTATAAGAATATAGAACGGCCGTGAAAATCAATCAGTATTTGACATCTATGAATCAGGGTCATATATGCACCCTTTTTGTGTATGTATCCATGCATTCACATCTCTCAAGGACAGATATGCATCTCTGGATGGGAAATGAAGGTCACCTGAAAAATGGGTGCATCGGCATCTTTGTTAACAGCAACGATAACCTTAGAGTCCTTCATGCCAGCTAAGTGTTGAATGGCTCCTGAAACACCGAATGCCATGTATAGTTCCGGGGCTACGATTTTGCCAGTTTGGCCAACCTGACAAAAAATATAACACAGAGAAGATGATGAAGAAAAACATATGTAAGATGTCCTGCAAGATACAAGTTCCATATGGCATGCTTGTAACTTGTAAACAGGAAAGAACCATATGTATCTTACCTGAAGTTCATTGGGAACAAATCTGGCATCAACGGCAGCACGGGTTGCACCAACTATAGCAAAAAGCAAGAAACAGTAAATGTGATATTTAATAAAATAGAATTAAATACTAATATACCGCATTGACAAATCTGACATATACGTACATATTCATTGAAGAAGGGACGTTAGAAGGACAACAATGATATGAATATATACAAGTTCAGAAGAGTAGTGTTCTTGTAGTTACCTGCTGCACCAAGTTTTTCTGCAAGCTTCTCTATCATTTTGAAGTTCTCAGCACTTTTCAAAGCTCTTCCACCTGTAACCACAACTCTTGCACTTCCCAAATCAGGGCGATCTGTATCCCCGGATGATAGCTTTATGAATCTAGATTTACCAACAGAATCTGGAATCAATGAAAGAATGAAGGTCAAGACACAACATAGACTCTGGTTACAAACTCAATACCCAAATAAATCTGACGAGTTAAGAGTACTGAACAATCTTTAAGAAAGAATTTCTCAACATTATAATTCTGATCATAAAAGAAACATCCATCAGAAACTACAATAACACAAAAGCGTTCTTTGGTTTTAGATAGAATTTCTCAACATAATAATTCTAATCACAGAAGAAAACCATCCATCAGAAACTACAAGAACATGAAAGCCTTCTTTGGTTCGTTTCTTCTCCGAAGCAGGAAGGCAAAATATTTTACAGGGCAGAGAAAAGTCGATGTGAACACATGTGCATCAGTAAAAGATAAACAGACCTTCATCTAGGTTGAGAGATCAACCTCAGAAATAGAAGCGTAATAATACAAGATACATATGTAACTTCTTTCAATTTTTCTAATTTACTCATAGAACTTTTGAATTGTTCTTGTTTTGATCACTCTTCATTATTTTATTATTATTTTTGCATGGCATAATTTTTTTTATTATTATTTAATATAAAATAATTTAAAATATAAAATAAAAATAGAAGATGGTCGGACGCCATTGTCAACCATCATCAGTCATAGTAGATGGTGGCCATTCACTCTCAAATTCCATAGGTCGATTATTTTAGACTCTAAATCTGAATTTGGTGGTTGTTTCACCGAGAAATATCCCAAATCTCATGAATCTCGATTGAAGCATTTTAAATTCCTCACTTTTGATCTCCAATTCGTAGATTCAGAGCAAGTTTCGACAAAAATGAGGTTGGATTTAGACTTACGATATCGAGGCGAAACAATCCATAAAATTTAGGACCGAACGACCACCATCTGCGACGAATGACGATGGTGTCCAGGCACCTTATGTTTTTATTTTATATTTTAAATTATTTTATATGAAATAATAAAAAAAATACCATGTCATATGAAAATAATAATAAAATAATTTAGAGTGATCAAAACAAGAGTAATTTAAAAGTTCAGTGAGTAAATTAAAAAAATTGAATTCACATTAGATGAAATAAGAGACAGAATAAAGAATAAGGAATTATATAATTTATCCATATATATATATATATATATATATATATATTGAGTTAATCGAATGACGAAATTGGCCAAGAGGGGGGTGAATTGGCAATAAAAATTTTGTGGAAGCTTTTGCAGAAAATTGAAAGCAATTGCACAGCGATTTACAGTGGTTCGACTTTCTCAAACAAAGTCTACGTCCACTACCTTAGCTATCCACACTAAGGATTTTCCAACAAATTCACTAATTTGTTCTTTCTTTTGAGGCCAAAGAGATAACCTTACAATTCCCTCAAGAGTATACCCCAACTCTTGAGAACACTCTTTTCTCAAAGAGAAGATTACAAATTTGCAAACTTACAAGAAAACCTCACAAGGTAAGATGTTTGCACAATTCTAGAACAAAGAAAGAACACTCAAAGATGAATACAATTGAGCACAAATAGTGTTCTTGAAAGCAAATAAATATTGAATGAAAATGGGCTTGAAATGCTCAAACTTGAGGTTTGATGCTTTCTCTTTGATTCTCTCTTGATTCTAGTTGCTTGATGTTTCTTGTCTTTGATCAATGGCTTCTAAGCTTGCTTAAATACACCTTGAATCACTTCTGAACGTTGGGGATAATTAGAGAAGATATTATAGCCGTTTTAGTGTGAAAACATTTAATAAAACAGCTTGGACAGTGGGGGGAATCGGTTCCCTATCATAGGGAATCGGTTCCCTAAGTGTAAAATTCAAATATTTCGACCGTTGAACAGGGGGAATCGGTACCCCCTTGAGGGGAATCGGTTCCCTCCGAGCATTCTGGAAATCTCGGAGCCAAACCATTCAGGGGGGAATCGGTTCCTCCTATGGGGGGGAATCGGTTCCCTCTGAGTATTCTGGAATTTTTGGCTTTGAATTGGTTCGAAATACTTTGTAAAATATTTTGAAATTGTTTTATGATTAAAACTTAATTTTACACTTAAGTAAGGATCAAAAATGATTTTTGAAATATTTGGAGTAATGTTTTGATATTCGAATAGTTATATCGAATATACTTAGAAAATCATTTGGAAAATCTTAAAATCCATTTAACTTAATTTGTTATATCGAAATATTAAAATGTTTCAACAATATATATATATATATATATATATATATATATATATATATGCATACCCAAGTACTCTCAAACCAAGGCTTAAAAGAATAGTATTTTATTTTATAATTTTTTATTAATATAAGGTAAATATATAATAATATCATTAGACAAATTTAAATAAATTGTTGAAATTAAAATGTTTGAATAGATAAAATTATTAGAGATTTAAATAGATAGTTGAAAACAAAATTTTATTATTTAATTTTTGGTAAAAAAAATAATGTTAATCAACAAAGTTTTAATTTGAGTCATTTACCTAGGTTTATCTCAGGGTTATATTTTTATGTAAAAGTAATAAATTTCACACTATAGATTCTATCTCAAGTTCAATTAACTCATTTACTTTTAGATATAATTAAATAAATAAAAATAATTAAATTATCAATTATAACTTGAGTTAATATATAATAATCCTTCATTAAAACAAATTCTATCTGATAATTGATCTTCAGGTCCCCAATAATTTCTTACATATATCAAATATTAAGACATTCCTAAATCGATTGAGAATTATTCTCTTCACAACTAAAATGCATTGCCCTAAAACTCTTTTCTTTCTATCGTCGCTAACAAAGCCTAAAATAATAAATCACTTCACAACTTCACAACTTCACAACTCAAATCATATCTCACGATTTAATATAATTTGTCCTTATCTATCTTCAAACATAGGAATGGCAACAGGTCGGGTTCGGGGCGGGTTTTGCTCGCCCCGTCCCCAAACCCGAAATGAATCCACGTCCCCGATTCTGACCTGATTCCCGACGAGTTTTTTATCAGGGCGTCCCGTCGAAGATTTTTTTTGCCCAATCATCGTCCCCGACCCGAAATATTATACCCGAATCCGAACCCAAAAATATTTTATATATAATTAATATAAAAAATATAAAATATTATATATATAATTAATATAAAAAATATAAAATATTATATATATATATATATATATATAATCGGGGCGGGTCGGGGCGGGGATACCTTGCCCCGAACCCGAACCCGACCCGAATAAATCCCCGAAAAATATCCCCGAACCCGAACTCGACCCGATATCATTCAACCCGACCCGACCCGAATTTGACCGGGTTTCGGGTTTCCCCGTCGGATTCGGGTCATATTGCCATCCCTATTCAAACACGAGAGAAACAAACGATTCACTATAAACGTATATATCACGAAAAATATACATACATAAAATTTTTTGTATCTTGCGTATCTTAAAAACTTAATGTATTTCATAATATTTTTCGAATATTCTTATGAAATTATCTATACAATAAATATGTCAAAAATTGTAAATCACAAAAAAAAAATATATCTCCTATAATTATCTCTACAATTTTAAATATTAAATTTTTGCTTTATTTATAGAGGAAATAATTTTGATAATTAAAGAATTTCACTATATGATACTCTCATCCATTAAAATTAACGCTATACGATGACGATAATATAAAGCAAAAGAAAAAAAATAGTGAGTTTAGTTCACGGAATGTAAGATTACCAGTGAGAATAAAAGATTACCAGTGGGAATAAAAGATTACCAGGGAATAGGATTACTGGGAATGTTGTATTTTATGTTTGGTTGATTTAGCAGGAATGTGAGATTACCTTGTTTGGTTAAAGGAATAAAAGATTATTAGAATGTATATTTGACCAAATTGTCCTTATTATATATTTGTATAATATTACAAATTGTAAAATATTTATATATTTTCTTTAAAAAATTAAATTCATAATATTTATATAATTTTTTTACAAAATTAAAAATATAAAAAAGGTTTAATGAAAGGGTAAAAAAAAATTTAACCCCTGAACTTCATATAAAATTTTAATTATAGACTTTTTTTTTAAATCTAAAATAATTTAAGAATAAATTTGTAATTTAACATTCGTAGAATTTTTATTATTCAATGACAGAAGAAGGATATTTTTGAAAAAAATAAAAATTTAAGGGCATTTTAGTCCAAAACGCCGGTAATGTTACAATACCTAAGGGAAGAGAGGTAATGACATTCTCGATAATATACCTAAAAAATCTATTATTGGTAATAAAATATTACCGGGAATGAGATTTCCGGCCAACCAAACATGGGAATGTCCCACAATCCTTGAACCAAATACCCCCTAAAAGTTTAAGGGTTGTTTGTTTACTTCATAATGATTAAGTACTGAATGATTCAAATGTTGAATGATTCAGAGATTCTGTATAAATTAGCTCTGAATGTGACATGTTGTTTGCTAATGACTCTGAATCATTCAGAATGTGTTTATGTTTTTATAATTAATGATAAGATTAAAAATATCCTATAATTGAAGTACTATCCACGTCGTTTAACCTAAAATTAAACATAAAGCTTAATTTTTTAGTGGGGTTTAATTTATAATACATTAAAAATGAAAAATGGCGGTTGAGTTGAGATAAGTACAGAACACGAGGGAGACGGTAAAAAAATAACGTATACAACGGCCAACTGTTTTTCTAATTTTTTTTTTATTATCCTTTGTGGATGTGAGATGGCAGCTTTCTTAGCGACAACAATGGCTGCCACCATCATCACCATCAACCATATAAAGATAATAAACCAAGTTTCTTTCTTGGTTCAATTTCGTATCGAAAACAAAAGGAGCTTTTTTCTTCTTCTCCTTTTTGTGTCTTTGAAGAACTTGTCTTGGCTGAGCCCCACATTTTCTCGACCTTCCCTTGAATTTCCTTTGATTTTTCTTTCTGGGTAATTTCTCTTACAGTCAAAGGTTTCAGCTTTCTGGGTATATCCCATTCTCTGGGTACAAAAAGGAGAAAGAAGAAGCTCTTTTTTTTTTGTAGTTTTTTTTTCTTTATAAATGTGGGGGGCTCATTCAGAACCTGCTGATTCTTATTATCAGGTCAAGCCTGAATGCAATGACGTTCCAGCAACCAGATTTAAGATTAGGGTTTGTTTTATTTTTATTTTTTTGAATGAAGGGTTTGTTTTCTTTATTAATTGAACAAAACTGAAATTTTTTATCCATGTTTGAGAAAATTATGGAAAGATAGCATATTTGATGTAATGGGGTTACATTGATGTTTATTTTTGTTTGGATTTATGGGGAAATCTTGTTTTTGTATCTATAATTTGATTGGATTTAGCCTTAGGGAATTTATCCATTAGAGGGCTTTGCATTCGATGGGATTAATAATGATCATCTATAGATTTGGTAT